ATTAAATATACAGGCCGATATTAAATACACGGAATGATATTAAATATACAGAATGATATTAAATATACATGATGATATTAAATATACAGGTTGATATTAAATATACGGAATGATATCAAATATACAGGTTAATAAATATACAGGTTGATATTAAATATACAGAATGATATTAAATATACAGGTGATATTAAATATACGGAATGATATCAAATATATACAGGTTGATATTAAATATACAGGTTGATATTAAAACAATAGATCTAATAATCTTACGATCGCCAGATGTCGCTAGTTGGGACTGAGGTGAACTTATTTGTTACGCAGGTTTGAAATTTGATTGAAGAGCTGCGCGATTTAAATGAGTTTTTTCGTTTCTAGTGTGTATATGTATGTATGTATATGTAATGTCACACAACTTCTTAATTTTTACATACTTTTCATCATCATTTCAGCCCAGCCCAGCCCACAAGTCCACTGCTTAACATAGGCCTCCCCCAAAGAATGCCACAAAGCACGGTCCTGAGCCACCTGCATCCATCGACGTCCTGCATGTCTTACCAGGTCGTCACTCCATCTAGTGGGGTGTCGCCCTACACTACGCCTACTGGTACGAGGTAGCCACTCGAGAACCTTTTTTCTCCATCGGTTGTCGGTTCTTCTGCTGTATGGCAAGCCCATTACCACTTGAGCTTACTAATCCATTGGGCTTTGTTGGTTACTCTGGTTCTACTGCGGTTATCCTCATTTCTAAGTTTATTACGCAGAGAAACCCCAATCACAGCCCTCTCCGTAGCTCGCTGAGCGACCTTGAACGTTCTCATACGGCCAGCAGTAAAGGACCACGTCTCATTTCGATAATTCATCGCTGGAAACACGCATTGGTTGTACAGTCTCGTTTTTAGGTTTTGTGTCGTAATTTCCCGAAAGCTGCCATGCCATCCACATCCACACCATCTGGATGCTTGGCGGTCCACCACTGTACGTTTTACTGGAAGTTTTCTTCCGCGTATGACCTCTCTGTGGAATAATTTACCACCTGCGATTTTTCCGGACCGATACGACCTGGGGACTTTCAAGAAAAGAGCTTACTCCTTTCTAAAGGGCCGGCAACGCACCTGCAATTCCCCTGGTGTTGCGTCACGTGGTAGTCCCCTCTTCTATAAAAAAAAACCATATCATTTCCAGTCCAGTAGCTTGAAAACGTCTTTCAACGCAGCGGTGAAGTTTCGGGGATATAATGTCACCCTGTTTTACACGTCTCTGCAGTTGGATAGGTTTCGTACTCTGGTTCTGTACTCGGATAGCCCTACTGTACAGACACTTCAGCACTTGGATATACCGACAGTAAACTTGGCACCGCTGAAGGGACTATAGCACCGCCCAAATTTCGACGGAATAAATGGCTTTCTTATAGTTCACATACGCCAGGCAAAGTGGCAGATACTCTTCGGTCTTCTGTACAATTTGCTGAAGGGTATGTATGTGATCTATAGTACTAAAGCTTTTTCGGAAACCAGCTTGTTCGGGAGGCTGGAAGTAGTCGAGTCTGCGTGCGAGACGATTCGTAATGACTCTCGAAAAAAGCACGTAGACCCGGCTCGGAAGGGAAGTAGTTCTTCAAGAGAGCGTTGTTACCTTTCTTGAAGAACAAGACCACCGCACTTTTGCTCCACGCTCGGGAGTAGTGCCACCGTGGAGAATGGAATTGAAGAGCTTCCGAAGGACTTCAAGTACCAGTTTTCCATCCGCTTTCAGAAGCTCCGCTGTAATTCCATCCTCGCCCGGGGACTTGCCGTTTTTAAAGTTAAGAGAAATAAAGATCTATTCTAGTTTCGCACAGACTGACGTTTGGGATATCATCGAAATAGTGTCGTATACGACTTGTCTCAAATCGTTACTCATACTTGCGTGTGGTTTCCAACGATGACGTGTACAGCTGCGCATAGAACCTCTTCCTATAAATTAATTTCACTCAAACCTAGAAATTAATTTCACTGAAAATCTCAGGTGTCTCGGAAACGATGCTGCCACACTCAGTCTTCAGCTTCGACTTTTTGGCTATTTTTGATAGTCAGATCTTTGGCAAAGACTTTGGAGCCCTAGTTCCGCTCAATCGCTTCTTCAATACGAGCTGTATTGAAGTTGTGTAAGTTCTGCCGTATGCATTTGAAGATCCGTCTATTGAATTGCCTGTATGCTGTAAAATCTGCTGAAGCTTCATTTCCCGTCTAACAGCCATGAGAGTATGAATGTGATCGAAGAGTTTTTGTTTTCTTCTGCGGCGGGTCTTGTAGAACTTAGCTCCGACCACCTGGGCAATTTCCACGAGCTTGTCATTCATATCGCCCACTGTATTGCACTCTTCTAGGCACTGGAAACGGTTTTGTAATTCGAGCTGAAAGTTTTCGAGATTAGTGCGCGAGAGAGACGGACCGTTGACTTCATTAGACGAGACCTCTACAATTTAACGTTTAGATTCAGTATGCTTCTAATCATTCGGTGATCGCTGCCAGTTATCACCCTCGCGATCACTGAGACATCACTGAACAGTTGTCGAACCGTCGGGTCTCGACCAGGTCCACTTCCTGTGGGGCTGGTAGAAAGAGTTCATCATAAAGAAAGAGTCCCTTTTTCTCCATGAAGTCGGCCAGCTGCTGGCCCCTTGCGTTTCGTTGCCCTATTCCGAATTTCCCTACCTTCAGCTCACCGCTTTCTCTTTTGCGTTGAAGTCTCCCATCAACACCGTATAGTGTGTTTTGGAGGAATGCATGGCTCTAGAGCCATAGAGATATCCTCCTCATCGGGATGGGCTGAAGTTGGTGCGTAAACCTGTATGACTTTCAGCGAATACCGTTTAGTGATTTTAAGTATCGGATACCCTTAAAATCACCAAACGGTATGCCTGCCCCGCCGTTATCATGTTTGCCACTTATTGCAAAATAACCCTGTATATTCGCCAAACATAGTCCAAAATTACAAAAAGTAGTTTAGATTTAGTTTCAGTTTAAATTAAAATCTGTTCACGGAAGAAGTCCCGCAGAAATATGCGTACTAAAATATAAAAATGGAATTTGACAGCAAATGTAAAACTTGATTACCGGACCATCAGACCAGGAAAGTGAGGAAGTAGAGAGATCGCTTCACCAAAGACAGATCTATCCACAGTCTGCCTCTTATTATGTGGTTTCGTGTTCAAATCCCGGATCAATTAGTATTGATGGACTGGGGTATGGGACTGGAGGAGGGGACTGTTCCTAGTGGAACAGATAAGCTAGTAGTACCAGTTAGAACAATGTCCCAGAAAATATACAAAATTTGTCGTACACAAAGTTCAAAAATTTTATTAAACTAAGTATATAAGTTTGTGTAAAAAGGGTTATTATAATATTAAGGTATGTATGGATGATAATAACCTATGGGAAGGGTGATCGCTACCAAGCTATCTCTCTAACTTGTCTTGTGTTGTTAATTGTAAACATGATTGTTAGCTATTTTTTGAAAAAATAGCCCCGCTGGGTTTCTTGTTGGTTCTTCCCAGGACAGAGGTTCTTTTTGCGAACCAGTGGTAAATGAAAAAAGTGACTTTCAATAAGTATTGTTTATAATCTACATTGAATAAAAAACTTTCTGTTTCTGTTTCGAGATCAGTTGTTGGGTTTTCCAGTTAATAAATTCTCAATTTCAGAAGCCGTTGGTCTGCGCTTAATATCTCTCCGGTCTTGTCAGAGAGATTTCCCTTCAATCGAACTACGAGAGTGAGACAATAGAAATATTGCCATCGCCCTCGTTCACCTGTGCTTGCGCATACACTCGTGCACTATAATCCTGTCCTGCGCAAATGGCTTGTCTCTTCTCTTGAACCGTAGCTTAAATCCGAAACTATCAATAAACCTTTTATATTGATAGTCTAATATTATTTTTATTAAACATGTACATAATAAATCTTACTTAACTTAAGGCGTCACGCTGCCCTGCACAGAACAACCCACAAGCGCAGCTTCTGTTTCTTAAGAAATCTTTCATTTATCGTCCCGAATTTACCTATGGCCAAGAAGTCTACGGAGTCCGATGTATTGCCAAGCTGATACTGCAACGCATCTTTCAGTGTGTATATTGCAAGTATTGTTATTACTTCTACTGCTATATTATACTCACTGCTGCAGAATACTGCCCCTTGCTTATCTCTCTCCGGTGGTGTCGGACGATCCCATCCGACTATGAGAGTGTTGAAATAGAGAGTGCACCTGTGCTTGTGCACTATAATCCTGTCTTGCGCAGTTAGCAAGTCTCGTTTATTTACTCATGTGCTATCAGTCCGCCCGGGTAGGCACCTTATTTTTTCCTATTTATGCCGCTATTCAACAGCACGTGCACGGCTGAGGTCCCGTCTAAACATTATATAGAGCCACTATAATTAGAGACTGTGAGCCATTTCGTCTTAGTCTTCAGAGGTAGCCTTCTTGGATGGAATTTGGCTGCAGGTTTACATGAACTGCAGTAATCATTACCTTCAGGTGGAATGGTTGGCTTATCACTTTAATATTTTTTTAATACTAAATTGTGATTCACAACGTGTCTTAGCGATGAAATTATATATTCTTCTATGCCTACTTGAACCATCACTAAATACAACTTGGTAACGCTAATGGTTCCTGAGTTAGAATCCGGAAACGGATGATCACTAAATGGTTAGAGCGACTGGATTGCCCTTCGTATCCATCCAGACGTCTTTTTGGCCTTCTCGTCCGTCTCCACTTCCATATAAGCGGAGCGAGCTTTTTCTTTGGATGCAAAAAGGACACCACATATCTTAGCACCCCCCCCCCCCTCAGTGCGTGCGAAAGGGAAATCGGATCGGATGGGAGAATGTACCGGCTAATTACTAGCTAACAGAACAAAATGCAAGGATACTCGTTTTCCGCGGAACCACAACCAAAGAAAAGAAAAAGCGTTGTTCACCTCTAATACAGTTAATAAAAGTCCAAAAACATGGTGTTGTATTATATTTTCAAACTTATGTGTTCCGCGTAGCCCAAAGATGAGGATTTATTTGAAAACTCTTTGGAAACAGTTATATCAGATTCGACATTTACTGGCATTTGGGTAAAAGTAACATTTTTTGGAACATTCACTTCTTCAATCAAGATTTTCGTGTCACTTTCACTTACAACTGGTAGGGTGACTGTTTCAGTTTTAGGTGCAATGAGCTCTGTGCTTTTAGGAATATGATCTGTAAATATAGTTGAATTCTCACCTACCCTACTAGATATATTTATATTTAATGTACTGAGTTCAGGTTTAATAGTAGCACTATGTACGACATCAACTGACGTTACTTCTTTAGTATCTCGTAATAAAAGTTCGTCCCCAAATATATCATTTTCTTTCATATTATTAAATTTATCGCTTCTGAATACTAAATCAGATTTTGATGTTTCATTACGTAAGTGTGAATGCTCGCTTGTATTTTCTGCGTACTTTCTATCAACAACCGAGACATCCGATGTCTTGCTCGGGTAAATATCTTCCTCTCTACCAATAAAGCCCTTATACTCATCTAATAATTGAATTGTTTCTGTTGTGTATTGCTTTGTTCTTGAATATATTTTTGCTTTTATCTCTTTCTTCATTTCATTTAGTTCTTCTTCAATCTTTTTAATCCTATCTAAATATTTTGCTGACGCTGATTCTTTCAGACCACTTTCATTTGCTTTTTCATTTGATAAATCTTCATCATTCTTATAAGCATTTCTTCGTGGCTCTTGTGTCTTAGAAGTATTTAAATTTTCTAAAGTAAAACTCTTTGACGGGATAGGTGGAGACAACATATGGGTCATTGTCTTTTGTTGGTTTTCGAACTGATCATACAACTTTGTAGAATCTTTCCTACAAGAAATAAAAAATAGTACAGTAATAAAAATCGTAAGATAAATCATTTTGTCCTGTGGGTATGCTACGAATCAACTCAAAGCAGTGTCATAAAAACGTTGACGTACTCATATTGGGAATGTGCCGAAATAACCAACTCAGAAATTGTAAGAACTTAAAATACATTCGGACGGCAGAAAGTTGACGGCGAGAACTATACCAAATTTATCGTTCTTCTCCGGGTAGAATCCCTATAAACAGATTCTCAAAAGGCACACGTGAATAGAAAATCATATTTTGCCACCAAAATACAATCTTTACTTCACTAAATACAAAATGCAAAGGTACTTCACAAATTTAGTTTTTTGTTTTGTAAACCGCGAATTTTGTTTTCCACAATCTAAGACTCATCGTCATTACAACCATTCACAAGTCCACTCCTGAACATAGGCCTCCACCAAGTAATGCCACAAAGCACGGTCCTGAGCCACCTGCATCCATCGACTTCCTGCATGTCCTACACTTTGCGTACCGGTACGAGGCTGCCACTCGATCAAACGCCAATTTTGTTTAATGGGACTAAGAAAACGCTGTTATTATTCATGTGCGCGCTTCGTCAACGTGATTTGAAGTTTATTTCAGATAAGTTTGTAACTTTATTTCGTATTTGCCTAAAAATAGTAACAATTGCGTGGCAACAGTAACTGCTATGATTGAAAATACAGCTGTGACATACTTTTTGTTCTTAATTGCATGTCTAGTACCTAGTATACATAAGGGTCTGGTCGCTTCTTAGTTCTTTTTCATGCGGTTTGTTGACCGTAGAGCTGATATACTTGCGCTAGTGATGCTGCTTTACATTGACAGTATTTTTTGTATTTTCATCAGATCTCGACGTTTCGAGGTCCTAGGAAGCTATTCTGGCTATTTTTGGGATTATGTCGGTATGTCCATATGTCCGCCTGTCTCTGTGTGTGTGTGTGTGTGTATGTGTACATGTGTATGTGTGCTTGCGTGCGTGCGTATGTGTGTGGAGCGCTTCGATATTGAAATCAGCGGGAAGCTCCAGGGATGGCCAGTAGGGTCAACCAATTTTTTGATACAAATCATGTGGCCCGGGTTCGAATTCCGGGTCGGGCCAAATCAGTTGGATTTTCTGTTACTAAATTTTTAGTAGAGCCGTAGTGGAGAATTTGGAAGGGTTTCACCCCCGTGTCTCGAGAAAGCATGTAAAGCCGTCGGTCCTGCGTCTTATCTTTTACCGGTCGTGTCGGCTTGCCGTCCCATCGAACTAAGAGTGAAGGAACATTGGCATAGTGGGTTACCCTGGGACTGTTAATCATTTTAAATTCAATGTACACAATTAGAACTATAATATAAAAACATTACGTACCAACGTGTATTAGTGGCTCTCCATCTAAACTCTGGACTATCAGAACTCGTGTTCTCGGACTGATTTGCAACGTCTTTGTCAAATACATTCTCCTTTATTGTGTCCGTTGCATTGGAATCCCTAACTAAATAAAGATAATTTCTGTTCGAAGCTGTACGTTCCTTCCATAACGGCACTGGCGATATTCTTTTTAGCTTTTTCTTTGTGTTAAAAACAATAGCTTCGGGATATAAAGTGACGAAAGTTTTATGGCTTGTTGCTTGTAAATTTGTATTTCTGTTTTTGAACCTCTTTTTGGTTGTTATGGATTTAACTTTACCTTTTTTAGAACGCTTGATATCTGTCAGTTTTTTAGATGTTGTTTTAAAATGAGAGTTTTGCCGAATAGATCCAAGCCAAGCCTTAACATCGTGACGAATGCTATCGTCTAGATTGTTGAAGTGATCATAAATAAGGAAGTTTAGAGTACTTCTAATGATGTCCTTTAGATTTAAATCAGACTCTGCAGGCCTTTCCCCGTAGCGTTTGAATTTTCTCAAAACCTTTTTAAATTTTTTGCGGGACTTGTTTTTGTAGAGAAAGTTAAAGAAGTTTATAAAATTAGTGTTTTGATTATCAGTTCTGGTGCTGTTTAAGCTTTTCAGAAATTTCTTCATCCGAATCCGCAGTAACTGTACTGGTGCTTCATTTATTTTGTTCAAAACTTCAAAGGTAATATATCTAAGGTCCTCATTATCAAATAACTCATTGAATTTGGATCTTTTATATCGTTGGTCGCGTATTTCTTCATACAATAGTTTGAAAACTTCTTTGAAATCACTATCATTGTACGAATTTAGCGTGGTTATAAGCTCTTCTAAAAAGTCACGGAATTCGTATTTAACATCTCGAGAAACACCGCGCAGAACAAATTTCTTGTCGACAGCAGCTTCTATTTTACTAAGGAAATTGCGCACTTTCTCTATGATTTCGACATCTTGTTTGTTGTTGAATTCAAACGTGGTTTCTAAAGCTACGTCCACACTTCTGGGGTTTGTTGCTAATGCAAATACTGAAAATAGACCAGCTCAAAAGTTCAAACGATAAATGAAAAACCCGACTGCGTAAAATAGTTACTGAAAAGAGAATTTATTATAGACTATGTCACTTCTACAACTGGGACGATATTAACGACATCCCGTTTGTTAAATCCATTAAACCGTTTTGGTTACAGAACGTGCTAATGAAATAAACGTACATACATACTCTCGAATAACTTTACCCTCCTGGGGATGTAAGGTAATAAAGAATTTCTATTTTTATGTCATTATCATTTATTTAGAAATAATTTTGATCTTCAATTATTAATAACACACAAACATTTACCCTCATCATACATCGCTCAGCGAGCTATGGAGAGGGCTATGCTCGGGGTTTCTCTGCGTGATAAACTTAGAAATGAGGATATTCGCAGTATAACCAGAGTGACCGACATAGCCCAACGGATTGTTAAGCTGAAGTGACAATGGGCCGGCCACATAGCTTGAAAAACCGACAACCGATGGGGCAAAAAGGTTCTCGAGTAGCAGCCTTGCACCGTTAGGCGAAGTGCAGGGCGACCCCACACTAGATGTAGTGACGACCTGGTAAAACATGCAGGAAGTCGATGGATGCAGGTGGGTCAGGACCGTGCTTTATGGCATACCTTGTGGGAGGCCTATGTTCAACAGTGGACTTGTGAAGGGCTGTAATGATGTTGTTGAAACATACATCCTGCTATGTCAGGATTCCAACTCCAATAAAAATACTCACTATGTAATAATAATAAGTCCTCCAGACCAAATTTCGGTCACGTCTGCCAGCCTCAACGGAGACTAGCCATCTGTTGTCTAGTTTATTCCATTTTAATTTGTTACTAGGAAGACGGTGCTGATAAACTCCTGTTTTTTTCTCTCTCTGTCGCCTCTTAGAATAACTACGGGATGACACAGTTGATTTCATTACACCGCCACAACTACATCATAACGCTTACTATAATGAATTAAAGTGATATATACTGATGGTATGACGATATATACAATATTCCTCCCGCTGTTTAAGATAATCCACTACATCATCATCGTTTTACATACGTGGTAGAGCCATCCTGAAGCTATATTATGGTTGTAGCACGAATAGGTCGGCTCGACCGGGGGCAGGACCACGCTCTCACAGAATACCAGCGTAAAATAGCAGCTTAATGCTGCTGTGTTTCGTGTGGTGAGTGTAGAGAACCGGAGATCCCATTCGATTGATCAGAAATCGACAATGCTTTTGAATTTTAATTCCTAATTGAGGATAAAAATGTACTACACTTACCATCAAGTGGACTATTTGCTCGCTTGTCCCCCTTATTCTATAAAAAAAACGATAATCGATGGGGTATGGGAGCAGTGTTTTTTTTGGATAGGCTACAACGATTACATACAAATACTTATTCCGAAGGGTTTTCGAATCCGCGACCCTGCAGCGTTACGACTAATCAATTACCCACTACGCTACGAGGCCAAACATTAATATCCATTAAGTTAGAAAGTAAGCTCGAAAAACGCACGTTACAATAAAGAAAAATAACTTACCATACACTTGCAACAGAACATAACACAGCGCACTTCGCATTTTAATATTGGACTACATAAAACTATAAAATATTTAAACATAATTCAGTCATAAACTTTATCGGAATGTAGACGCTGCTATACTTCTCTGTGAGTTACCTTTGTACACTTTAAAATAACCAATCGATCGATATATTCATTATTGTATATCAACACATATAAAAACATAGGCATAAAAATGAAATATAATGATTTCATATATTTTCGCTTTTAATTACACTTATTTTTAATTCACGTTTCGGAAAATGTCGGGAATTAAAAATAAGTAAGTACAATTAAACGCGATATTATGTATAGAAGTAGTTTTATTCAAAAGTTAAATAAATAAAGAACGTACAACGTTAAAAGCAATTTCTTACAGTTGTGAAAAAAGAAATGTACAATGGCTATTTTTTTTAATATTCTTCATTGCACACCATACAAAAATTATAGATTATATATACAAAAGAAGTATGTAGTGGGCGGTCCTATTGCTGATAGCAATTTCTTCCAGACAACCAATAGTTGTATTAAATTAAAATATTAAAAGATTTAGACAGTTGTGGGTGAGGAATAATAGTGCCCTACCGGCCGAACCATCTGCGCAGAACAACATTATAGTGCTATAGTGTATGCGCAAGCACAAGGTGCACTTTATTCTCTCACTCTCATAATCCGATGGGACGGTAAACCGACACAACCGGAGAGAGATTAGGCGCAGCTTTACGTGCTTTCCGAGACATGGGGTGAAACACCGCCAACTTCCTGTTACTGAGAATTTCTTGACCTTGAAAACCCAATAACTATTTTTTGGTCCGACTCGGGACTCGAACCCGGGATCTAACCAACGCGGCATTAAACATAAGCTATAGAGGATCAATAGAATAAAGTACAAGAAAGGACATAGACGGGAGGTACGATACAACAATTATTAGGACATGGAACCTATAAGCCTCAAACCATTTAGGTTTATATATTTATATATTATTCATATATATTATTATATTAAGGAAAGCATTCTTCTGTCTCAAAAAAGTTATAAATTTGAATTATAAAAGTTACTTTATTAAATATTCACTTACATTTATTAAAGCTTTTATACAATATAATATATTAAAATATGTTAGGATATGTTAGGACGTTTCACTGAATAGGAAACCTATTCATTCAAATATTAAGTGTAACACATATCAATGGAAGTGTGTATTTTTCACGTCAAAACACAAGCAAGCATGTCGACCACATATCATATAAAATAAAACCACCACAAATTCCAAATTTATTATTTTAAGTGCTCAGTTAGCACTATTATTTTCGAAGAACTCCAAATCGAAGTAACCTCCACGTCGTTAACGCTTCCGCCGCGTTTTCTCGTACATTCCCCACTTGGTCCTTCGAGCCGGAGCCGAGCCCGCTGTAGCTTATAGCTTCATCAGCAGAAACAGTAGTCTTTGTTCTTTGCTTTTAATGCCGCCTCTTCTTTGGCAAGCTTCACTCGCATCTCTTCTACGTTCTTCATGACAGACACGTCCGCTGCACAGTCGTCGACAATCTTCTGAAATAGTTCCTCTGAAAACATTGATACAGATTAGAAATCTCTTACTCTTACTTAATTTTTTTTTTGATATTTATACGTGATAGAGCCATGCACTAGCTATATTAATAGTATAATGGTAGCATGAAAGGGTCGGCTCGACCGGGGAAGGACCACGCTCTCACAGAATACCAGTGTAAAATAGCAGCTTAATGCTGCTGTGTTTCGTATGGTGAGTGTAGAGAACCGGAGACCCTTTTTACTGGAAAAGAGGCATTCCATCTTATTCCTCACGGGTAATCGAGGATAGATGTAGATGTCAATGGACCGCAGCAACCACTTACCTTCAGGTGGACTGTGTGCTTGCTTGTCACCTATATCCTATTTAAAAAAATAACTATCTTATGTTCACGTCGTTCATACAACTAAATTTTATTTGATAAATATATAATTTTGGTTAAAATAAAAACATGTCACCGAAACACATGAATATTTCAAAGACATGTGAAGTTCGCCAACACGCATTGGGGCAGCGCGGCGGACACTTCCTTGCCCTAAAACCCTCTCAGAAATGAGAGGCCTATATCCTATTTAAAAAAATAACTATCTTATGTTCACGTCGTTCATACAACTAAATTTTATTTGATAAATATATAATTTTGGTTAAAATAAAAACATGTCACCGAAACACATGAATATTTCAAAGACATGTGAAGTTCGCCAACACGCATTGGGGCAGCGCGGCGGATACTTCCTTGCCCTAAAACCCTCTCAGAAATGAGGGGAGGCCTGTGCCCAGCAGTGGGACGTATATAGGCTGTAAATTTACTTTAAAAAATTGCATTCTAAGTCATACATGCAACCAAGTGTTAGTAAGGTATTGTTACGCGCTCAAGTCGACGATACACTAGCGCCATCTAGTGTCAGGAACGAGAGCGAGGGGAGCATTGAGAAAATGACATCACAAATCACTCGACCGACAGCGCCACCCGAAGAACTAAGTTTCTGGAAAATCTACACTCGAATACTCGTTGCCTGGCGCGCATTTACTTGAATGTTCGGGACGCTTCTTTGCTAATTATATAAATAGGCGCTGCAAGATGCGATCGAGGCAGAGTTGAACTCGGCGACACAAGCGAAGCTTCGGAGCAGAATTAAGTGAATTAGTGTGTTTAATTATTAGTGTTTTTAGTTTTAATTTGTGTAAATTAAAGTGTTAATTTAGGTAATTTTATCGGCAATTTTTATTGTCACGAACCTCAAGCTCGTAACAATTGGTGTCAGAAGTGGGATAAAATCATGCCGATTTTACCTAAGGAGGAAACGGAGGGTGTCCGTACCCGAAGTCAACGCCAGCAGGAGACGGACCAACGAAGATTTGGTGGTGCAACGCCGCAGACTTCGGAGGGCCAGCCACCGGCTGCAGGCCCGTCGGTAGCTCCTACATCTGCAGCACCTGACTTAGGTGCTCTGATGGTGATGCTGCAGGAGCTGAAGCGCGGACAGGAGGAACAGGCCAGTCAGTTGAAAGAGCAGCAGGAGGAACAGGCCCGCCGATTGGAAGAGCAGCTGCGGGGCGGACAGGAGGGTCAGGACCGTCGGTGGGGAGAGCAGAGGCTCCGCAGGAAGGACCTTCACGCTACCTTCGGGAAGGAGATAAAGGAGGTGAAGGATAGGGTTGCTCAGCATGACAACCGCCTGTCGGAAGCTGAAACCCAAATCGCGAAAGCTGAAAACCGAATCGAGAAAGTTGAAACCCGAATCGACCAAGTAAACAATCGGGTTGACAACGTAATGGCTGACATGAAGAAATCACTGGACGAACTCAAACTTGGAGATGGAGCTACAGCTCCCGTAGTAGCTACAACACCTTCGCTACGTGGGTTCAAGGTGCCACCGTTCGACGGTACCTCTTCCTGGTCAGCCTACAAAATCCAGTTCGAGGCTGTTATGAAGGCGAACGGCTGGAATAAAAGTCAGGCCATGACTGCTCTCACGCTAGGCCTGCGTGACCAGGCCTTAACAGTTCTGGAAGCTCTCGGTGAGGAAGTGACTAATGAGCAACTCCTTGAGGCATTGGAGGCGAGATATGGCGACGCTCACCTGGAACACGTCTTTCGTGCGCAGCTTAAAGATCGTGTGCAGCGCATCAACGAAAACCTGCAGCAGTGGGCTCTAGAAGTGGAGAAGCTGGTGCGAAAAGCATACCGGTCTGTACCTGCGCTCATTGAAGGGAACCTGGTGCAGACATTCATCGACGGCATCCGCGACCTGGAAGTCAGAGCTGCTGTGAGGCTCGGGCACCACGAGACGCTTAAGGACGCCTTGGCCCATGCACTGGAAGTGGAAGCCGTGCGGCAGGATCATCGTTCCCATCGCGTCAGGGAGGTTGCAGCAGCTACAGTTCGCGACCGCAACAAAGGATACAGCCCAAGGTGCTATGGCTGTGGGGAAAAGGGCCATCTTCGAGCCAGCTGCCCTAAACTAACCGTGGAAAGGAGAGTTGATCGATCTCGAGAGGGTAGTACAGCTAACGGCACTGCCTGGCGGCGACAGGATCATCGTTCACTTCACGCTAGGGAGGTTACAGCAGTTACGGTTCGCGACCACAATAAAAGATACAGCCCTAGGTGCTATGGCTGTGGGGAAAGGGGCCATCTTCGGTCCAGCTGCCCTAAGCACACCCTAGGAAGGGAAGGTGAACGGTCTCAGAAAGGAAGTGCGGCTAACAGCACCGCCCAGCAGCAGCAGGAATACGACTTTACTATCAGACACTGCAGCGGGAAATCTCACGGCAACGCAGATGCATTGACAAGAAGACCTTGTCCTGAAGATTGCAACCATTGTAGTAGGCAAGAGAGTAAGGAAGTGGTATCCGTGAGGATGCTCAGGACAGACCACCTCAGCAACGGGTGGAAGGACAGCCTACGACATGCACAGCAGGAAGATCCGGACATCAAGCCGATTCTGGGATGGATGAAGGCCCGTGCTACCAAGCCTAAGTGGAGGGACGTCTCAGCGATGAGTTCAACCACGAAAAGCTATTGGGCCCAATGGGACAGCTTGCTGATTCAGGATGGAGTCCTGTGCCGTAAATGGGACAATGGTCGAAGGGACAGCTGTCGTTTGCAAATGGTTGTCCCTAAAGCTAAAGTGCTTCAAGAGTCCATCTGGGAGTTAAACGAACTCTACTGAAGGTCCGAGAACAGTTTTACTGGGTCCATTATCGTGACGATGTCGAGGATTGGTGTCGTACATGTACAAGTTGTGCGGCCGTGCGGGGACCTCAGACACGTAGTAGAGGAGCACCGAAATTGTACAATGTTGGTGCACCACGGAATAGAACAGCCCTTGACATTGCGGAGCCGTTACAGAAAGGCGCAAGAGGGACTCCTAAGATCGTCCATGTGGATCGCTTGGCGCGTTATTATGGGGCCGATAATGCTCGGGACGAGCATGTCTTAGGAGGGGGCAGTGTTACGCGCTCA